AAATATCAAACAGTCATCTTTCAACTACATTTTACAAACAGAACGTTATCTACGTCTTCTCGAACCCATAGATAACATTTCTAAATACTGTGACGCAGACTCCTATTGCTAGGCAACGCCCGCAACACACACTCGACCAACAATACAAGAGCGGTGTTTTCTGTGGTGTGGTCCGACCCCGAGTATATATAACGAAATGGCAACAGTAACGGACAGTTAGGCGAAGCCAGACACAGAAAGTATAAGAGGCTTAAACTTGGCGGCGGTCAGGCATACTACCGTTCAAGTGACTAGGCTACTGTGGTAGCGAATACTAGTAGAAATAGGGCATAATCTGCTGTACCGAGCCTGGATTGACAGAGGCCTTGTATATATTGTACATAGGAATAGGAATTAAGTCTAGATTGTAAATATATGTAAATACTGACAATGGACTTACTAACACAGACTATGACTGAAAAATGACAGACCCGACCTCTCGTCAGAGAGGACGCCCCAAATGAACAGGACAGTAACTTTCATATAAAGAAAAAAAAATCTGGTCATGAGCCCCAGTCGGGGCTCGACACCAGGACAGACAGACTGACTGACCATCAGTCGCAGTGTGACTTTGACTTTGACTTGACCGAGAAGCACAACCCCGTGTGGAGGCGGGGTCAAATACCTCCACCATGACCCTGCGAGTCGTAGGAGACGACAAAAAGGGAAGTCTCAAATCTGAGACAGTAAAATGTGGTTGCAAGTCCCAAGGGACTCGGACCCGAGAAGGACTGCACTGACAAGGGCCAGCAGCATATACAAAGACAGACCCGTCCTCTCGTCAGAGAGGGCGCCCCACAGAAGCAAGACCGTAACTGTCAAACGGTAGTAATTAACATCTGGTCATGAGCCCCAGATGGGGCTCGACACCAAGACTCGCTGACTGACTGACTGACCGTCAGTCGCAATGTGACTTTGACTTTGACAGAATAATGAGTATCCAACGAGCGGTAAGGGATGAACCAAGAACGAAGGCTCCCCTGAGAATGGCAATGCAAGTGTATAGCCATTGAAGGTCTGAAGGTGTTAATGAAAGTGATTATAAATATGAGTGTAAACAAATAATTGTCCAATAAACTTTCGTCTAGTCCGAAACCCATTGTGCCTTGCCGTGGTACTTAGGAAACACATGACAGTATGTAGATGTAGAGGTACATTAAATGGGTGGGCTATAATTTTTGTAGTGTTTGTTTGTGTTGCTGTAAAATCATTTTTAATGTCCATTTTAGGACTCAATAATTTTTCTTTAGTAGAATTCACTTTTGGGTTACACTGGGAAGTCTGGTGTGCCGTGTGTTGCTCATCAATGCTGTAGAAAATTAAATGTTTATATGTCCATTTTTTGCAAGGTGTCAGGAAGAGTTGCAGAGAGATGTTATTTATCAGGGAATGAATGTGTCATTATAAGTTAATTCATTGTTATTCCACAAGTTCAGTAAAACCATTGTTCAGTTTCTGAATTTGTTCACACTTTTATTTATGTAAGTGTTTTGGTTTCAAACCAATGATGTGTGCCTCACAGATCGTTGGAGCTGCATACTGAATAAATTTTATGTTTACAGTATTTGACCATTTTTCACAGATTTTCTATTACACTGAAAGCTGTGGGCCTGATTCAAGTTTTGAATATGAAGAACCTGTCAGGATTAACAATGCAAACAACCCTAGATCAGCTGATGAATTTTCATTGCCTATTGAAGAAGATGGGGCTAAGCTCAGTAAATATGAATCCGAAAGGCAGAAAAACATTGAAGAACGTAAGAGACTTTTCCGGTAAGAGGAGTGAGGTGATTTCTTTGTTTTGAAGCATATTATGGAACAAGTAAATATTAGTAAAGATTTTTAATGTATGTTTGATTTATATATATTAATGTTGTCAGAGAGGTGGTACAATATGAGAGCTTAAATGAATGACAGCATTCATATCTCATTTTATAATTTATTTTTAAATGTTAGAGATTAAATATTCAAATGTCATCAAAGCTCTTGTATTAATACTTTTGTTTTTTTCTACTGTACCTTTCTAACATGGATCCGGGATACTGCACTCAGTATAGAGACTGGCTCCAGGCTGGATGAGGAGGGGTCATAGTTTGAGTCCTGGTAGGGTCAGGAATTTTGTCTTCTTCACATCATCCAGACTGCTCCTGGAGCCCACCCAGCCTCCTATCCCATGGGTACCGGCTCTTTCCCCAGGGGAAATTGGCTGGGGTGTGAATCTGACCACTCACCTCCAACTAGTGCTGAGGTCAAGAAAATGTGATTCTATACAACAGCTCTTCCATACACCTTCATGGCATAGTGCTTAATTAGTTAAGCACAGGGACTTTATTTTTTTTTTACTTTTACCTTCCTAACATAACATATACCAAGGAATTTGATTGTTATTCAATTCAAGGAATTTCAGCTTTTTCTACTTAATGTTGAAATAAATTATGAAATAGCAACTTACTGATTAATCAAAGGAAAATAATTTGTATTTAATAAAATAATGTTAAATAAGCAGTCAGTGCTCACTGTTGAATTAACTCCTTTTACTCCTTTTTGAGTGTGTTTTGTCACATCCTTTGAGGGTTGGGTCTGTGTGTTATTTGAATCCTCATTTTATTTGAATTATTGTGTTTGAGAAGCAACACATGTTTCACAATCACGCAGCATTGCACTAACCACATGATGTAGTCCTGACCTCTGTGTGTAGAAAGGGTGCTCTACTGTGTTATGCTTTACGTGTTGACCAAATACCTAACATGTAACTAGATTCTGAAAACTTCTTACTTGCTTAATAATTAAACTTGTGTCTACTTAAAACATAACAATTTTTTTGTTACATATGTGAGGCTTCAATTGAGTAATACAGTGTATGTTACTAGTACAGTGAAGTATGCTGTATCAGACTTTCACTATATATCTGCTACTGTACCTCATTCATGTAAATACATATACTTATTTAAATGCTGTAGCGAACTCAAAATTGGAGATGCAAAAGAAGAGCTGCTGGCAGTAGCAGTCAGGAAGAAGATGCCACAGAAGAAATCACCATGGAAGAAAAGTTACAAGTAAGTCATTCAACCAGCTGTTGTTAACCCTTTGACGTGGTCATTTAAATTCCGCGGCCGCGGCTCCTGCGGTAATATATTCAGCCGGCCATTTAAATTTTGCTCGAAAATTATTTATTCATCATTGTTCTNCAGTTGAGTGTGTCAATGTGGCCAGCTCAGGGCAATATGATATCATATACAACAGTAAACATCACGTCTCTTCTGTTTATATCTTCAAAGCAAAGAAAACACGCTTTCATAACAGTACAGCTAGAAACCGCTCGCCAGAACCACAGGAACTTTGCTGCAAGACAGGCATATGTAACGATGACTTGGCGCAGATAAAGTCGTGTCTTATTTATACTCTGTTCTACTGACAACAGGCCAGCGAAAAATCTAACAATCTACAGCAAAACCATCAATTATTATGGGCGTTATAACATAGGTGTGCAGCTGAACGAAACATACACGTCGAACCCCCCCAGACGATTTAAATCCCTGACGAAACATACACGACGAACCACGGCAACGGGTTAAATGACAGGAACAGCAGTGCTCACTCAGCCTTTTTATTTCAAGCCCCTTTATTGGTATGAATCCTCTAAATAATGGATGCATCCAGACTCAGTCCAACCAAAATAAATGCTTAAAAGTTATAACATAACAATAGGAGCAATTATAAATTAAGAAGTAAGATTTCATTATCTGTTTGTTGTAATTATTATAAATTAGAATTGTAGTGGTTTACTTTATTTTTTTTATAGTTTATTTAGCAATGCTTAGGGTAGCTCAAATTATGTATATACCATCAAATGATTAGTAATCAGTGAATTGGAGAAGTGTGGAAGGAAATGGTCATGGCCTAATTTAAAGTATTATTCTAGCAGTTGCTGGAGTTATTGAGGAAAATCACAAAAACTGAAGTCTTGTTAGCTGGCCTCAAGGCTGATATTTCAACCTGGTATCACCTGAGTATTGTCTAGTGCTAACCACTTGGCCACAGCATTCAAGAGAAGTTCCTCAGATAAATGTTAAGATATACTGTGTCTCCCTCCCCCCATTAACAACACACTGAATGTCTGAAATTACATGGAAATGTATAAGAACTTGAAGTGTTCTTTAAAGTTCTGTTGGCAGGCCATTCTACCATTTACTGTATTGAAAATATATGTAGGTCACCTGTTACAGAACTTAACACTTTGTGGACCAGCAATTTAAATATTTAAATCACCCTGCGGACCGGCATTTTTATACATACTACCCTAACTTGTGCACTGTTCACTTTAAAAATTAATATAAAATCTCCTAATTAATTTTATGAACTAAAATTTTTTGAGAACACTTACCAATGTTTCTAGAAGTGCTTGAGGGTGTGATATTTCTCGAAACATTCCCCTTTGTGAAGTGGTATTACACAAGACTTACAAATATAGGCAGTCCTACTCCTTTTCTTGTGAATTGCGCAAACACGGCATTGCCTAGAAGGCTAGAAATGTTCACTCTTCACAATTTTCGCGAAGGTATGTTTCCGCATATCACCCGAGAGGCGCCAAGGGGGTTCAAAATGAGGCCTGCATGCGGTGGGAGTAGATGGCCCCAGTCGTACTAAGACTGTGTCTGCCGCCAGTTCTGCTGCCACCGTGTGGTCTGTAGCCCAGGCTTTTGCCACATTCAGCAGAAATGCCTTGTATTTCAAAGTTGAATGAGGGTTTACGTTTTTGAAAACCAAAATGAATTGAAAATGGCACAATTTATAAGCCACAAGGCACCTTTCTTTGTCCACTTTACTGTTTTCCGAGGAAGAGAATAATAGGCCAAGTACTGATCGGCTCTATCAGCTCAACATATTATACTCGGAAATACAAACAGGCTTCTTTACCTGTCCATGTCTCCTTCGAACATCAACCATGCTCGAATTGTGAATTGTGGAAATCATATTCACAACACGAGTATCCCTCCAGGACTGAAGAAGAATATCCCCCTTCCTCCTGAATGTGGTTTCACCACGTTTCAGGGATTTACATTCCTCTTTCAGATCTGGAGGAAGGCCTCTGTTCACCCTAATTGTTCCACAAACACGTACTTTTCTCGAAAATAGGTGTTCTGCAGTTGCCACACTGTTATAATAATTGTCTTGATAGACATGGTAATTTTGATCAAGATAGGGTTCCAAAACGGAAAGAATAGTTTCTTGTAATTTCTTTCCTTCACCAGAATAAATTTCTAAATTTCCAATATAGCCTGAAGTACTTTCAGTAACTACATGAACAAGTAGGCCATACTTTGTAAGTTTCCCAGGATTATATTGTGACATGTTGAGCTATGGATGACGCCCCTCCCCCACCCCCGCCAGCCGTGATGCGCCGAGTGAAGCCGAAGTGAGCTGAAGTTAGCTGAGTCCTAGCATCCTGGTCGCTAGGCAACGCGAGTTAACAGCGATGACGTCACCAAGTGTACCGCGGGGTGCTAGGCAGCGCGGGTAACCAGGATTGCGAGAGACGACGGTAGTAACAGCGGTTACTACCGCTAGCGTTGCTAGCAACACAGCGCCAGGCAACAAGGGTGCTTATTACGTGGCCGTTTTCTGTATTGTCCGATCGAGGCTACATGAGGCGCAGCGAAGGCTATTCACAGTGAGTCCTGGAGCTACCTCCGAGCCAGTCCTCGAGCTACCTCCGAGTTAGTTCCGAGTTAGCCAGCAACTAGTCAGTTGTATTCTGGAATTTGGAGTGTACTATTTGTGATACTGCAGATAGCAGTAATTCTAAAACTGTAATTTGGGTGATTGTAAGTGCGAATGTGAAATAAAATTCGCTATATAAAATACGGCGTGACGTTATTTGTCGCGATATACGCCCGATACGCGACAATATGTTTGCATACAAAGCCTTCCCCTCCAAGGAATCACAGATTCGTCGAAAGACAGTTGTTGGTTCGGCTTGTAAACTGTCTGAAATTTCTGAACGAAAAAGTTCAATAAGGGCTGAATTTTGAAAGCCTGCTTGTTGATTGTGGTTGCAGTTCATTATCATTGAAATGCAAACACCACCAAATTTGCTTAAATCTCTTACGGCTCATTAGTTTGCTGAAAATTGGAATTTCTAAAAATGGATCTGTTGACCAAGACTCTTTCAGATTATCCCTCCTTGTATGGCCCACNGGCGTGACGTTATTTGTCGCGATATACGCCCGATACGCGACAATATGTTTGCATACAAAGCCTTCCCCTCCAAGGAATCACAGATTCGTCGAAAGACAGTTGTTGGTTCGGCTTGTAAACTGTCTGAAATTTCTGAACGAAAAAGTTCAATAAGGGCTGAATTTTGAAAGCCTGCTTGTTGATTGTGGTTGCAGTTCATTATCATTGAAATGCAAACACCACCAAATTTGCTTAAATCTCTTACGGCTCATTAGTTTGCTGAAAATTGGAATTTCTAAAAATGGATCTGTTGACCAAGACTCTTTCAGATTATCCCTCCTTGTATGGCCCACTAGAAAGATAATTGCAAAAAATTTTCTCATTTCTGCTGAAGTGACATCCACCCACTTCAACGCCTTATAACTTCTGTCATAATGTTCACGGTGTTGGAGATAGTATCTGTTAGTTTCCTGACATATCATGTCAAAGAAACTATCTCCAAAAAACAGTTCCGCTACTTCAGACACTTGCGTTGGGTCCGACGGAATTTGCTTCACCCCTGGATTTCCAGTAAACTGTCCCAAAGCAGGCGTTTTGTCTACTTTTCCCCATGTGGCTGTCCCTGCAATGTTGCTGTCCGCACATTCGTCGGAGCTACGGTCACTTTCACTTTCACTGTCTGTGGTCACAATTTTTTGTTCACCCCTGCCACACTCACTATCAGATTGTGAGTTGCTATCACTAGCAGACTCACAAGGGACGTCAGATAGCTCATCGGAGAAGAAGTCAGATACTTCTTGTTCTCCAAGAAATCGCTTGGGTGTGAACCGCTTTGGTCTTTGATCCATATTGAACTACTGACTGACAGCTTGCTACGTAAAGCTTGAAGAAATAAAGGCATTTATTTTCCTTTGCAAGGCCATAGAGTTACAGCGAGGTCTAGTAACTGATTGGTCAGCAGACATTCCAGAGCCTTATAACACAGCTGCAAGCAGCTACATGCTAGCTAGGTGGAGCCAGAGAGATGTATAGTGTGTTGCAACTTATCGTGGTTTAAAAACCTGTTAACACGCGAACGGTCTGCCATGTTTAAAAGCGAAAAACCTTTTAAAGGGTGCACGGTCTGCAAAGTGTTAATAGTGCATTGTTAGTGCTTGTTGATACTAAATATTATGTAAAGGATGACTGTCTCAGATTTTGAATTTCTCAAAGATGAGTCTTGTCTATCTTCAGGGTCAAAGAGTAAGCCAAGCAAGAAACAGGAAGAAGGAGGTGGCAGCTTCTGCTGATTTCTTGCTTGGCTCACTTGGGTGCAGATCCTGAAGATGACATGCTCTTCAGGGCCTCCTTTCTCCCCTTAAGGCCCTGTTTCAGCTTCGGTCAGGATTTTAATGGTTCCACATGTGAGCCTTTTAAAAATTACTTTTGCACAGTCCTCGTCTATAAGAAGGATAATCCTCTGGCCTTAATAGCTCAGGAAACCTGTCCAGTACTCTCCAGTGCTTGGTATGATGTTCATCATCCATCTCAGCAGCATATCACGATTCTTGGTAGCTTTATCCCTTGTCACAAGAGATGTGGAGAGGTTCCTGGCATTCACTGATTCCTGCCTGGCCCCTGATCCCAGTTTGTGACAGTCAGTGGCCTTGATGAACCATTTTCCAGATTGTTGGATGATACAGACATGCTTGAAGAACCTCGGCTGTGGTAGTTCCCCTGTAGGAGTCCCCTGAAATGCTCTTCAGTGATGAGATCATGTTCATCCTCTGTAAGCTTATCTTGTGGAGTGTTTTTCCTTGAGGATAACCGCTTTTACATTGGTCAAGGCCTTATAGGTTCCTGGCTCTTTAGAGTAGCATGACCTTGGAGGTTTTACTATTTCCATAGAGGTACTGCACTCAGTCCTTGGCCTGTTGAGAGGCCCTGGTTTGGGTTTCTCCTTGCTTGTTTGTGCTCTGGTTACACTATGTCTCTGATTCCTCCTTGGTCTACCCCAGCTCTCTTTAAGGCAGACATACTGGTCTTCAGTGTGTGAAACCTGTAAGCTCTGGAGACTGTATGCCTTAGGTCTTCTCCTTCAGCAGGTGTGCCAGAACCTCTGGCTCCCCAAGAGAGCATTCCTTGGTGTTATGGCAGGCATATGGCTCACATCTGGTTTATCTGGGCCCTGGCTGAATCCTCAACATTTGGTCCACTGATGGTGCCAGAGCTCCCAGCCCCTCCTGAAGAGTCTCATTCTTGTCTGGTTTTATTGTAAGAGCCTCTGCAGAAAGGAGTCCTTACTTATTTTTTAGTTTTTGCAGATTTTTTTTATTAGTTAATTTCTATAAAACAATTTTCCAAGTGAAATGTCCATTGAGGTGGGTCAGTCCATATCCTGACAGGAATATAAGGGATCTCTCATCTTACCTTTACTGTTTTTCTGTGCCATTTCTTTAATCATTTGTTATGTCTTCTTTTGTGCTCCCCTATGGGAGATTAGTCTGTGTCTTGATGAGGGGGACATAAAAGGGGCTCTCAATTTTTTTCTCTTGTCTTCTACCATTTATATAATGGTTTGTGTTTGATTTGGCATAAATTTCAGTGAAATTGCAGTGAACTGATCCAGCATTTATTGAACACTGTATTGGCTGGGTTCTGCACTCGTGTGATAGTGTCTGCAGCCCAGCACACCTGTTGTTGATTTCTTTCAGTACAGGTCCATTGCACCCAAGTTGAAGTCTGGCTGCCAGTGGCTATAGTAGTGGGGTATTTGGGTTGTCCATTCTTACATGATCCTCCTCAAAGACCGCACCCTTGTTGTGGAGAGGATGTTTGGGCTCCCCAGTGACCTGGAGGGCTGTTCTGGTGGGAGCTTAAGCTCCTGGTAAGACTACCCATACCAGCCAGGTCAAAGGGTAGGTACCAAAGTGTGGTTCCTGGTCCTCCAGATTGGGAGTTGGTCGTGGGGCTAACAATCCAACACTGGAAAGATATGTTATATTTTAGCGTCCTGTTACACTGATTCATGTCCATGGTTTATGCTATTACACACTATTTACACAGAACAGCATGACAACACCCCACCTCCTACCCCCACAACATCATAACACAACCAAAATGAAGACAGCACACACACACATATCCAGCAGTACAACGCATGCAGTAATAGGAGCAAAACACAACACAGAACATGGTGAGTATTAAATATTATAAAGCCACGTGTAACAGATAAAAGTCAGAAAGTTGTATTAATGAATAACAATTTCACGTTACAGATACACAAATATATGTAGGAAGAATGCTCACATAAAAGAGGATTGGCGTAATTCGCGTGTTTGAGTGTGACGTAGGATGAATCCTGAAAAGTTTTATTATTTAGAATTCATCGACATATATGACAAATACAGATTTTAGTCATTTTAGAATGAAGACATCATGGCATGCAGTACAATAGTTTAATGTGCATAAAGACACCTGAGGATGGCACATTAGTGCTGAAACATAGTGTGGAAGTGAAGAATAAGGTGAAAAAGTGTATACACTGTAAGATGGTTAGCATAAACCATGGACTGGAAAGATATACTGTTACAAAACCTCCAGGGTCTATGGAGGAGCCATGTTATTATCATGTGTGTATGGCTCTGTGACTAATAATAATGGATTTTGGGTTGGGTGATTGGATTTATTGACGCCTTCTTTACACTCTCTCTTAATCATGATCAGTTACAACAGCTCACAATCAGTGACTGGCTAAGACTTGCTCTATCTTGACTGTCTTCTCTTCTAGTTCTAGAGTTACTTTATGACTGACTTCTGACTTACAAATGAATCTGCTCTTATCTGAATGGCTGCTTATATAGTGTAGCAGTTTCCTAGGAAATGTTTGTTGAGTACTCCTATCTGTGGACACACCTGTTGATTCCACAACAATGAGCTGGTTTCCAAGAGTCTACAACTTTCATTTTTGTATCCCAGGAAAGTTTTGTTTAACAGCCAGCAATGGCTTAGTTCCAAGAACCATCTCTCTGTGGAAATGTGTTTGTCAACTTGTTTCCTAGAAATGGGTCTACATGTCACATTACTACTACTACTACTACTACTACTACTACTATTGCAGGCCTGTTCTTCCATCTCGTCCTAAGTCCTTGAGGCTTCAGCACAAAAGCCCATCTGGGGATCCACTGCCAGCAAGAAATGAACCTGTTGCTACTGCAAAGTCTGCAGTTGATGCTGTAATTTCAAGGAAACCATCAGGTAAGGTTATGGGAGCCAGCTGTTTCATTCTCTGCAATAACATTCAAAATCTGAGCATTGTAGGACAAACATACCTTAAATGCTCACTCTTACGTTTTTCATTTTAGGGCCTCTTCCCATGGAATCAGCAGTAGGAAACAAATGCGAACAAGAAATATTGAAGAAATTTATGGAATGCTGTAAAGCAGACTTTTCACCACAGATGAAATTGACTTGTGAACTAGCAGAGTAAGTACTGATTTATGTGTGCATACATGTGTACCATTTTTGGTATTACATGAGTTATTTCTAACCTTTCTTCCTGTGCATTAATATGATGCTCTGAAGTCTGTTCCAAGGTTCAGAAATTAAATTGGTTTCAATGTCTGTTTGGTTGTAACCCCCCACAGATGTAATATTTTAGCATAATGAAAGAAAAGAAAGAGCTCTGAGAGTATATTATTCAACCACCACATTACAAAAAAAAAAGAGAAATAGGTTTTGGAGGAACATATTTCCTCCATCTTCAGGGTCTGCAATTGCTGCCTACTTGTTGGCGTCTTGTTTTGTCTTAACCTTTGATCCTGTAGATGGAGGTGGTATGTTCCTCTGAAACACTGGGACTTTTCCAAACTACCTGGCATTACCACTAAGATAACTACTGTTCATAATCACCATGATGAGAACCTCCATTCCTAGAAGTCTTGTGATATTAAGTTATACATATTTATATAATATATGTTCATAATCCAGCAGTAAGCCGGTCACGGTAGCCAAGCAGTCTAAGGCATGCACTGTCTTCGCTCACTCGGAAGCCGGGATCGTGGGTTCGAATCCCACTCAGGGCATGGATGTTTGTATGCGTTTTTCCGTGTTTGTCTACAGGTAGAGGCCTTGCGACGAGCTGATCACTTGCCCAAGGAGTTCTACCGTATGTGTAAGATCTAGAAAACCGAAGTGAACGGAGTTCATGGAGGTAGGCCTAGACCCACTGGGGCTGTAGTGACAAAAAAAAAATCCAGCAGTAAAGTGCAGTTTAGCTGGTGGATGTACATGCTGAACTTGTGGGGACATAGTCATAACATGTCCTACTTGATTCTGTGCTTTATTGCTTGCAGTTGAATATGTGTCTATGATCATCACCACTTCCACTGCTGCCATCACAATTGTTGTCATTACCTTCCTCGGAGGAGCTTACTATTTAAGTAAAGATTCCAATTACATTGTATTGCTGTATAGAGCATACAATTTTCACACTGTTGCACTGTTTCTATTTGTTGATATTTTAAAAGCATTTCCTACATTCTTTGTGCAATTATCATGTATTCTGTCTTTGGTGGGTGGTAGGACTACTTGCAGGACACTGTCACATAAAAGGATACCTTTTCAGAATGGGATTGACATACAGTCCTATTTGTGAAAGGTGCCTAGAAAATGATGATCAGCCACACACATCCTATGTGAGTGTGAGGTCATAGCTTATTTAAGATTTTTTCACCTGGGTCACTATTTTTATGGAACCAGATGACTGTTACAGCACCCCTGTGAGAAATTCCTGCATGTTGTTTGAAGTGTAGGGCTCTTGAAGGATTAAAATAGAGAAGTATGTGCAATAGATCACTAAAGATCATGATGCAAGGGCCCACTACTTATGTATGTATGTATGTATGTATTCTGTATTCATAGCATAGTATTTCATAGTATTTCTATCTCCATTGTGTCACAAACTGAAAGCTAAGTAAATATTTTCACACTGCTGCCATGTTGTTTTACATTCCACAGTTAGTGATGTAATTAGAATTGTGTATTTTCAAAGATGTGTTTCTGTACATAAAATCAGGACCCAAAATTAAATAGTGCTAGTCTCTTTCAACCCTCTTAGATTTATATATCTGCCATGTTTTTACTGTTAGTGATTGTAGGAAATTAAAATCTCCAAGGTGTGGTTGGCCTTCAGTGGCATATTGTTCATACTGGATTTTATAAGAACCAGTCAGTTTGGTTCAGAAGTTCAAAATGATGTATACATAGACAAAGGATTTATAGACTAAATACAAAACTTTCATTGTACTCATCATGTGACTCTAAAACATATTAATACATTGACATGAGGTGTTAATGAAATCTGATGTTAGCCACACAAGAAAATTATGGTAAAACTATGTTAGTTCATAGTTTCATGTCACTTGTATGTACTGTGCAGCACTTGAAGTAAGTGTTGTTTAAGGAGACTTTGACAGAGGTGGAAGGCGTTCATGATCTACTGATTGTAAAAGTTACAAAGTGAAGGAGTTGTGTAATTACTGTGAGACATGTTGATTCGTTTCAGTGGTGAGATGCCTATTAGGACTTCCACATTTGTGCCTTTTGTTGTCATTTCTCTTTTCTGTTTTCTCTTTTGCTGCCACTTGCATAATCATGTATGATGAAAACTGATTGCGGTATACACTTTATAGACTGTTAATATCTTACAATTAATATGTTGTTGGACATATCCATCGTCTTGTCTGTTCTTAAAATACCGTCCTGTTTCTTTTTTAAAAAAAACAACGTTTGGGGGACTGGATTCTGTCCCCATCTTCAGGTAAAACGTACTCAGTTGGGTCCAATAGACAGAGCTAATCCCTATCTCAGGACAACTATGCCAGTTTCAGAAAGGGTTCATAGTCCAACCACAACACAAACCATCTGTGAGAGCTAAGAAATAGTGAAGCTATCACATATGAGGCCTTGCACCAGAGAAATATCTTGAATGAAATCATACCTGGAGAGAAGCAATACTCCTTGTGGTACCAACACATGAAACAAATAGTTACCCCTACCAACTACACTTGACGGTGCTGTAGTCTCTTGACTTCTGCTGTGATAACGGGAGTCCAGATGGGAGCGATATCCGCACTGGGTTGACTGATCGTGTGGTCCAGCAGAGATATGTGGGCTGTTAATAACTTATTGTAACTATTTTGGTTTGTAGTTAAATGTACTGTAAGCTTGCTGTTCCTCCATTTATTTTCAGAAGTTCCAAATTTTGAAGCTTGTCCCTGTACCCTCCCCACCAAATGGATCTGTTCCAGAATCTTTTTCATATGAAATCCAAATTAACATTTGTTTCTATGCAGACTGTACTTAAAACTAACTCAATGGAGCAGAGTTGTTCTTGAAAAGCTGATAGTCACTAAGCAAATCAATATTTCTTGAAGATCCATCTATATATTTTCTTTCCACATGCCTAGGCCTGCCATGGTTTATTCTCTTTAGGTGTTCTGATTTGGATTTTGTGTGCTTTTGTTGTTATTGTGTATTACACGGCCAGTTCTTGCATGAAGTGTACCATGTTTGGGATGTGACACCGCATGGTCTAGACCAGTATTTCAGGGATACTCAGGTTCGCCGAGTGGTGAGGAATTCGATGTATGGGGTTGGGATTAGGTGGAAAGACAATAGCAAGCAATTGGATTTAACAGTGCTGTATTGTTAGAATAAGAGATGCTTGATGAAGTACATAGAAGTAGGTGGGCACTTTAAATATTCCCTACAAGGGGTGAGGCCGCAGTCCTGCTCATCTAACCCTTGTGACAACTGGAATCTGACTCTCTGTGTCTTGCCTTCACCTACAAGCTGCAGTCTGCCCTTGTACCCCAGTCAGTCTGAGTTCTGTCCTTCACACATGTGTGGAAGGAGAGGAGACCACACACATATTTGTTTAGTCTACGCATTGGGTGCGAGCCAGTCCACGGCTTGGAAAGAATATTTAAGATACCCAAGAAATACAAAATACAGTACACAATTATAAAAATACTCACACTTCCATGTATGCAACACCTCCCCTCCTCAGGGGAGACCAATTTAGACCTTAATTGGTCTCAGAAACAGACTTGGCAGTACGGAGTAGGAGGGACCTGCTTAACTCCAGTTCTGCATTGGGTGCATTTATTTCTTGTAATGGCACATCTTCTTGTGCCACAGCTAAGCTCTCATTGCTTGTATGGATTTTAATATTCACTGTGTTACCTGATTTGTGTGCGTCTGTTATGGCCTTTATGCAATTTACCTTTCCTTTCAAACAGTTATACATTTTGTATATTGCATACATTCCAATTAAACAGAAGCAAACATACACCAATACAGAATAAGAATCATGGGAAGTTGTGTGTAGCCTTTTCCACTCTTGTTCCACGATGATGCGCTCGACTTCAGAAATCTTATTGCCATATTTAAATCATCCAAATGTGATACAATGTGTTTAGAATTTGTATTCAAATGTATGGAACTAAGATTGATCTTCATGCCTAATTCCTTGCAACACTCGTACCCCAGATTCACTCTGGACATTAAGTCCCTCGCTTGCATCGAACTGTTTACAGTGATAACAGAATGTGTTTGGAGCAGAGCCGATTTTCTGTAACCTCTACAATTAGTATTAATTCTAATACCCATCCCAGTTAGTGCAACCTTGGCTGGGGTCCTGTCAGTACAGAGAATTGTAATGCTCTCACTTGTTGCGATGAAATAAATCCATTCATTGTTTTTCAGTTGTGTCCATACTGAATCAGAAAGTTCTACTGTGCGCTTCTCACAACTTAGGGGAATACTTTCACTAGACTGCAATAGCTTAACCACACAGTTCTCATGTACTTGTGAAGATTGGAGTGGTTGAGCATGCTTACACACGTATACTCTTATATTTAGCTCTATACATGTATCTAACCAATACTTGTCTGTCATGAAATAATATTCTTTTTCTTTATCAATCCATAAAAACGAGTTTCTAGTATCTACGTACAAAAACTTTGTTTGATCCAAGGGTACGTGGATCACGTACACTAAGACTCCATTACTTACATATACTTGTAAATTACACACTCTTAATGTTAAATAAACTAAGTCCTTGCTCAGTGGGAAAGGGTACATTACATCTCTTGCAAGTGCAGATACACTTTGCATTAATGCTTCCATCAGCGAGTATGGCGAGATTATCTGAGGTTGCAACACCCCTCTTTGTGCATTTCCTGCACTGTCAATTAGTAAATCTAGTTCGTGTTGCAACATTTGCATAGCGTTACTGACCCTAAAAATGTGGCCTTTTATTTGGACCTTTGCACTGAAGGTGTCAGTTATCTCCTGTGTTCCTGATTTCAGAGCACCCACATAATCAGTGATGTTACATACTCCCTCCTGAAGTAATCGTTCATTATATTCTATGTAGGTCGTACCAAAAGTCAAGAGCAACTTTTTTTTTGCATGCAACC